AAAGGGAAACAGAGCCCAGTGGTCCCACTAAGTTGGGAAGACAGACTAGAATTTTGGGAGGCCAGGGCAGCTAGAATTTACAGTGAAGAATACGAGAAAGAAGCTTTGTAGACAAAGAGCTTCAGGGATCTTCAGAGAGAACTCTTCATGTTTTTAGCTGTGCTCTGATCTGTGCATATATGTGAAAGAACTACCCAAGGCCAGGAAAAGAACTACTGAAAGCATTAGGCCTAAAAATTCTTGGCACTCATACATAGCTGGGAATAGTTCATGTTCCTGCCAGTAAGAGCTGAAAACATTGCAGAGCATCAGACAGAATCCTAAGAAGGGTACCGCCTTACTAGTGGGGCTAAATTAGCCAAAGTAGAGGCTGCTCTGGACCCATTCTCACAAATCTTAAAAACAAGCCTTAAAGGAATCCAACTGATTTCTGGTAACTTAACTGTGTGTTAATAAGAAGTCCAACAACTATTTAAAGTACTAAAACAAAAATCCAGAATCCAATAATATAAAATATGTAATATCCATCATCCAGTCAAAATTTACCAGGCATGTAAAAAGGGCATAAAATTAGGGCCCACAGCAAGGAGAAAAATTAATCACTAGAAATAGACCCAGAAGATAAGATCAACAGCTAAGACTGTTAAAGAAGCTAGTACAAATATGCCTCATATTTTAAAGAAGGTATAAGAATATGAGAAATGAAATATTTAAGAAATGAAAGACTTAAAGACCCAAATAGAACTTCTAGAAATGACAATACAATATCTGAATTAAAAATACATTAAATGAGGGGTGCCTGGGTGGCTCAGTCGTTAAGCATCTACCCCAGGCTCAGGTCATGATCCTGGGGTCCCAGGATCGAGCCCCGCATCAGGCTCCCTGCTCAGCAGGAAGCCTGCTTCTCCCTCCCCCACCCCCCCGCTTGTGTTCCCTTTCTCACTGTGTCTGTCAAATAAATAAAATCTTTAAAAAAAATACATTAAATGAGACTCAGAGCAGAAAATATACTACTAAAGAAAAGATTAACAAACTTAAAGGCACAGCGAAAAAAATTATCCAAAATTTAGCATGGCATGAATAAAAGAACAGTCTATACACAACCTATAGGGCAATTTCAAAGGTCTAACAAATGTGCAACTGGAGAATCAGAAGTGGCGAGGAGGAAGACAGAAAGAGAAAGAAAAAGAGAAAGAGATATCATTAATAAAATAATGGCCAAAGTGGTTGAGGGGAGGGGAAATCAAAGATCGAGGCTGCCACCTTGAGAAACTAGAAAAAGAAATTGCAAATTAAGCCGAAAGTAAGCAGAAGGAAGGAAACATAACAGAAATCAAGGAAATAGGAAACAGAAACCAAAATAGAGTTCTTTGAAAAGATATAAACTTCTGGCCAGTCTGATCAGGAAAAAATTTAGAGAAAGAACAAATTACCAGTATCAGAAACAGAAGAGAGAACATCCCAATACATTACATACATTAAATGAATATAAACAACTTTATACTAATAAATTTGACCATTTAGATGAAATACATAAATTCCTTGAAAGAAACAAGCTATCAAAGCTCATTCAAGAAGAAATAATCTGAATAGCACTGTATCTGTTAAAGACATTTAATTCATAGTTAATAAACTCTTACCAAAAAAAAAAAAAAAACCCTCTTACTAATAAGAAAACTCTAGGACCTGATGGTATCACTGGAAAATTCCATATTTAAGAAAAAGATAGCAATTCTATGGAAAGTCTTCCAGAAAATATAAGAAACATATTGCAATGTATTACCATGAAATCAAAACCAAAAAGATGACAAGAAAGCAAAAGCACAAACCAGTATCCCTCATAAACACAAAAATAAAAAGTCCTTAGCAAATTGAACCTAGCCATACAGAAGAACATCATAACAAAGTAGTTTATCCCAGGAATGTAAAGTTGTTTAAATATTCAAAAAAAAATTCAGTGTAATTCACTGGATTAACAGATGAAAACAAAAATATGAAATCAGTTAACAAAAGGCATTCCCCAAAATTAAATATCCATTTGTGATTAAAAACTTTCAGCAGGGTGCCTGGGTGGCTCAGTCTGTTAAGCGTCTGCCTTCAGCTTAGGTCATGATTCCAGAGTCCTGGTTGAGCCCCACATCGGGCTCCCTGCTCAGCAGGGAATCGGCTTCTCCCTCTGCCCCTCACTCACTCATGTTCTCTCTAATAAAATCTTTAAAAACAAAACAAAAAAAAACCTCTCAGCAAAGTAACACTAGGAAGAAGCTTCCTCAACCTGAAAAAGAGCATCCATGAAAGACCAACAGCTCATATCACACTAATGGAGAACATGTGAGTGCTTCCCTCTAATATCAGGAAAGCAAGGATGCTTGTCCTCACCACTTCTATTCAGTATTGTGCTAGAGTTTCTGACCAATGCAATAAGGCAAGAAAAATAAAAGACCTATAGATTGGAAAGTTAGGAGTAAAACTGTCTATTCACAATTTGATTCTCTATGTAGAAAATTCTACGAAATTTAATCCTAAGAAATCTAAAGAAAAAAAAAGCTACTAGAACTAAGTGTGTTTAGAAAGGTGATAGGAAATGAGGTCAGAATACAAAAATCAATTGTAGTTCTATATAGTAACAAGCAATTAGAAATTTTAAAATAAACACATTATCTTCAAAAATATGAACTATTTAAGCATAAGTTTATAAAACATGTACAAGACCTATATATTGAAAACTATAAACTCTGCTGAAAAATTAAAGATCTAATAAATGGTGAGATATAAAATGTTCATGTACTGGAAGATTCAATATTGCTATGATGTTAATTCTTCCAAATTGATCTAAAGGTTCAATATGATGCCAATCAGAATCCCACTGGGCTTTTTCATAGATACTGACATACTGATTCTACATTTATGTGAAAATATGAAGGGCCTAGAATAACCAAAATAATTTTGAAATAAAAGGGGAAAAAAACAAGTTGAATTTGTGCTGATTTCAAGACTTAATATACAGACACAGTGATAAAGACATTGTGATACTGGTATAAGTATAGACATGATTTCACTTATATGTGAAATTTAAGAAACAAAACAAAGAAAAAAAGAGAAACAGGGGCACCTGGGTGGTTCAGCTGGTTAAGCGTCTGCCTTTGGCTCAGGTCATGATCTTGGGGTTCTGGGATCGAGTCCCACATCAGGCTCCTTGCTCAGCAGGGAGTCTGCTTCTCCCTCTCCCTCTACTGTCCCCTGCTCTCTCTCTCTCAAATAATAAACTTAAAAAAAAAAGGGGAGGAACCCCAGACTCTTAAATATAGAGAACAAATTGGTGGTTGCCAGAAAGGTGGGTGGGGGATGGATGAAATCGGTGAAGGGAATTAAGAGTCATCACTTATCATGATGAGCACTGAGTAATGTATAGAATTGTTGAATCATTATAGTGTACACCTGTAACTAATAATACTGTATGTTAATTATACTTGAATAAAAAAATTTTTTAAAAGAGAGGATCCAGAATAGACCCATACATACAGCTGATTTTCAACATGCCAAAGAATTAAATGTTCCAAAATAAGTGGGAATAATTGGATATCAACATGGAAAAAAATTAACCTCAGTCCTAATGCCTCACACCATATATAAAAACTAGCTCAAAATGGCTCATATGCGGGCGCCTGGGTGGCTCAGTTGGTTGAGCGACTGCCTTCGGCTCAGGTCATGATCCTGGAGTCCCTGGATCGAGTCCCGCATCGGGCTCCCCGCTCAGCGGGGAGTCTGCTTCTCCCTCTGACCCTCCCCCCTCTCATGTGCTCTCTCTCTCTCATTCTCTCTGTCTCAAATAAATAAATAAAATCTTTAAAAAAAAAAAATGGCTCATATGCCTAAATCTAAGCTAAAACTATAACACTTCTAGAAGAAGAAAACAGGAGTCAGGCAAACCTTGAGTTAGGTAAAGATCATAAAAGAAAAATGATAAGCTGCACTTCATCAAAATAAAAACTTCTGCTCTTTGAACGATGCCACTAAGAAAATAAAAGGGGAAGCCACAGTTTAGGAGAAAATATTTGTAAAATACCTAACTGGTAATAAACCTATATCCAGAATATATAAAGAACTCTTGTAACTCAATAAAAACAAATCAACCCAATTAAAAAATTGGCAAACAATGTTAACAGACACTTTACTAAAGATACAGAGATGGCAAATACATTAAAAAATGTCCATCGTCACTGGGGAAATGCAAATTAAAGTCACAACTGAGATACCACTATACACTCACTAGAATGGCTAAAAGTAAAAAGGCTGACAATATCAAGTGTTACCAAGGATGTGGAGTAACTACAATACTCCTACATTGCTGGCAGAAGGCAAAATGGCAAAGCCACTTTGGAAAACAGGTTGACAGTTTCTAAGAATGTTGAACATATATTTAACATAAAAGCCCAGAAATAAATCTCATTCCTAGGATATACCCAAAAGAAATAAAAATATATGTTCAAACAAAGATGTGTATGCAAGTTCATAGCAGCTTGATTCATAATATCTCAAAGCTGGAGAAAACCCAAATGTTCCTAAACTAGTGAATAGAAAAACAAACAACAGTATATCCATGTATCAGAATACTACTCAGCAATTAAAAAAAAAAATACTGATACATTCAACGCATGACTCTCAAAAGCATTATGCTAAATTAAAGAAGCCAGAAACAAAAGAGCATGTGCAATATGATCCATTTATACAGAAAACTATAGGGACAGAAATTGGTTACATTGTGCCAGGGTAGTTGAAGGGATTCCCTCCAAAGGGGAAGGGAACTTTCTGAGAGGATGGAAACATCCTAGATCATGATTGTGGTATAATTATACCACTCTACACATTTGTCAAAACTTACCTAACCAGACACTTACAACTGGTGAATTTTATCATACATATACATTGTATTTTAAAAAATTTTTAAGATCTCTTTTCTGGGCTGACAGCTAACCAAGAAATGACAAGACACTGTTTACCTTCCCAGTCCTCCATGTAAGGGGCCTCCTCAGCTTCTTTCTCTGGAGTGGGCCTGTCAGTGAATTTTCCTTCTTTCATGACCCTGGTGATTTCTCGGAGCTGATGCAGCAACCGTTTTTCTTGGTCAGAAGTCACAGTCTGTGCTCTGCTTAGAGATATCAGACAACCCAGCCATTTAATGATAAATGAACTCCTGGGCAATGAACATAGACATCACTATGATCCGTCTGGATCCTAGAATAGGAAGTCCAACAGCAGCAGGTAAATATTCTAGAAATTGGGCCTGGAAATGCATTGCTGATAACTAGATATGTTAGTTCAATGTTCTGATTGATTTTATAAATGGGGAAACTAAGGCCTAGAAAAGATCAAGTGATTGCCCAAGGTCCCACAATGAATTAAGGCCAAAACTGGGACCAGACCCCAGATGTTTCAGCTTTCAGCTCAGTGTTCTTTCAGTATACCTCACTGCCCTGATTCTCTAATCTCTAAGAAATTTCACTGTTACTCTTACTACCCATTTACTATAAGCCACTTTTCTCCAAAGCAAGGTCATCAAAAGAAAATGTGCTGAGTCATTAGACACAACTAGGGAAAAATATCCTACTAGCCCAACCCTGGAATCACTAGGCTGCATCTACTTGTGCAGAAATAAAGATACATCCGAAAATTTCAGAGCTGGATCATTCTGACAAATCAGTCATCTAGACCAGAGAAACTGAGGCCCACAGAGAGGAAATTCTACATTTATTCCTACTGCTAGTTAATGCCATCACTTGAACTACAACTAAAGTCTCCTGACTTCTGATAGCATTCTATGCAATTCTTAAAGCACAATGCTCAAGTTCCAGTTTAGAAAACCTGGGTTTGAGTCCCAATTTAGCTGGATAACACTGGGCAAATGTGTACAAAAATAAGATGAGGCTCAAGATTAATGGTAGGACGATTTTGAGATGGAAGCATCGCATCACACTCATAGGCAAAGTCCTACTCAGAAGACTAACTAGTTTGGGACCAGTTTTACCTAGTGGCAGGACGTAACAGAATACTTATTTTCCCCTTAAAAATCCAAAACATTCGAAGGCAATATAAATTCATGAAGGAAAAATGACCTTTAATACTAGCCTCATGGAAGTGCCATCAATTTTTTCTAAACAGCCAGTCTCCAGCCTGTGTTCCTTCTTATGCTTAGTCTAACAAACTTAAGCCTTAATGACCAGCCGGGGAAAAAAGTGTTCCTCCCTCCAATGTTAAGATGGTTAAGTGAGGAAAATGAAGGTGCAACATTTCCACAGACCTCAGTGGGAAGAAAACAAAAGCACCATGAGCTCCACTTCTTCCACACTAAAGGGCCTCAAAGCCATGAACTGAAGAAGCCTGTCTGTCCTACATTCAGGTAAATCTTACATGCAGCAGGCCTCTTACAGCTCTGGTCTTCCTCTCCGTACAGGAGTCCTGACTTGTCACAATTGCTCATCTGCTCTGTAGAACTCCTAATCCTTACTATTACAACAACCCACTTTGGGGGGGCTTCTGACTCACCTAGGGCAACCTTTTAGCTAGAAAAGCCTATTTGCTAGAATCCAAAATACAGAAAGAACTTATAAAACTCAACACCCAAAAAACAAATAACCCAGTCAAAAAATGGACAGAAGACATGAATAGGCATTTTTTCCAAGACCATATACAGACAGCCAACAGGCACATGAAGAGATGATCCAACATCACTCATTACCAGGGAAATGCAAATCAAAACTACAATGAGGTATCACCTCACACCTGTCAGAATAGCTAAAAATCAACAACAGAAGAAACAACAGGTGTTGGCAAGGATGTGGAAAAAGGGGAACCCTCTTACACCGTTGCTGGGAATGCAAACTGGTGCAGCCACTCTGAAAAACAATATGGAGGTTCCTCAAAAAGTTAAAGCTACCCTATGATCGAGCAATTGCACTACTGGGTATTTACCCACAGGATACAAAAATACTGATTCAAAGGGGTACGTGCACCCTGATGTTTATGGCAGCGTTATCAACAATAGCCAAACTATGGAAAGAGCCCAAATATCCATCCACTGATGAATGGATAAAGATGTGCAATGGACTAATACTCAACCATAAAAAAGAATGCCATCTTGCCATTTATGACATGAATGGAGCTAGAGAGTACTATGTTAAGCAAAATAAGTCTGAGAAAGACAAATACCATATGATTTCACTCATATGTGGAATTTAAGAAACAAAACAGATGAACATAGTAGGAAAAAAGAGGCAAACTGAGAAACAGACTCTTAACTATGTAGAGCAAACAGAGTTACTGGAGGGGAGATGGGTTGGGGAATGGGGTAAATGGGTGATGGGGATTAAGGAGGGCACTTGTGATGAGCACTAGGTGTTGGATGTAAGTGATAAATCACCAAATCCTACACCTGAAACTAATGTTACACTGTATGTTAACTAACTGGAATTTAAATAAAAACTTGGAAGAAAATAAAAGAGCCTATGTGCTTATCACAAAGCTCTGGCCCTTGGGCGCATGTGTTACTTCTCTGGACTGTACTCAGCACATTTTGATTTTTACTGAAACAGTCTTGACTCTGTTTCGGAACTTACGGAAAACCAGAACCCCTAATTTTAAAAGGGATAGCTCTGCTAGGAGAAGCATAAACAGGCAAGTGAAGCTTTCTCAGAGAATTCTAAATTAAAGCATCCTCTTTTACTTCCAAACAAGCATATTCCTGTTGTCCATATCATGCATTAGGCAATTAATCATGGTCCGTCTTACAGCTTCTGAATTTACGTAATGAAGGTTTTCATAGATTCCTCACTGTCTCAACTTGGTTTGATAGTCCTGGAGGGCACTGATAAATTCAGGACAGTACAGGCACAGTGCCACGAACACTGCAAGCACTCGATTTACTATGTGTTAGTTTAATTGGTCCCCATTTCCTTACCATCTGTTTTCCCCCACCTCCCTGAAATCTGGCTTCTACTCCATCATTATACCAAAACTTGTGAAAATCATCAATACCACTTTACTCTCAAGTCTAAGAATCTTTTTTTACATTTCATTTTTCTTGACTTCTCTGTACTGTGGGCCATCCTCTCCTTGAAATATTCTCTTCCCTTGGCTATTGAGACCTCCGCATTCCTCCCACTTTAACCATTCCTTGGATTGCTGATCCTGGCTCACTCTCCCCCCATCCGCCTTCTAAACACATGGTATTCCTGAAGGCTCAATCCTCGGGCTCTCACTTGTCCATTCTTACAGTCATCTCTCAGGAAGCAGACCCAGTATCACAAATTAAACCACTGCCTCTACATAGATGATACCCATACTCTACCTCTAATCCCGATTTACCACATGAAAACCAGTCTCATAACTCCAGTGATCTAGGGCATTTCCACTTAGAGGACTTGCTATTAATGAAGTTAACCTCAAATTCGCTCTTCCAAAACAGGGCCTAGTTGGCCCAGGATGAGGAACAGCTGTGTGAGCAGCCAGGTTTGGAGAGGCTGGGTATGGCAGATTCCAAGATGCTAGAAAAATAGAAGGTCAGATTGGACGATTCCTGATCAGACTTTTGAGTATTATAAACCCAGAGGAATCATCAAGTTCTGAAACCAAAAGTAAAGAGAATGAAATAGTTTCTTACAATACCATTCATGATTAGAACAGAATTCAGACCAGCAAAAGATCGCAAGCTATCGCCACACAGTATGATGTGCCTCAAGAACTTGATCTCCTCTTTCCCCACGGCCCTTACTTCCCTCCAGCCAAATAACTTCCCAACTTGTTTCCTTTGTTCTGACCCAAATTTCCTATTGTTGTTGTATATCATACATAGCTGTTCTGATGGCACCTTAACCATATTCAAAGCTGAACTCATGATCCTTATACCAAAGCCTTATCTTCCTTCTCCTCTTCTGTATTTTTATCTTGGTTGGTATTATAATCTTCCTTGTCATTTGGGCCACAAATCTCCAACTCATCTCTATCTCTTTGTCCTTCATTGCTATTACCTAGTTTTTCTTTTGGAGAACCAACCCCTCTTTTGCTCATAGTGTAAAGGTTAGAGTGAAGCTATCCATTCCCTTACCTCTCCTTCAAAGGTGGCCCACAGCCAATCAACACACTCCATCCCTGGGCTGCAGTGAATGATTCAGTGATATACATAGGACCCAAGTTGGAACAACTGTACTTTCTCCTAAAACTGGGTGTTGAATGCAGTAAAGCCAGATCTGAAAACTTCTCATGTTAATTCATTCTGACAGCAGTCCTTGAAGAACCTGTCCATTTGTTTGTCCTCGAACTCTCCCGAGCTGTTCTGGTTCCCCCTCTTTCTGAAATCTGGATCTTTAGCTATTCCTTTGATATTATGAGCTATCCCATACCTTTCCAATAAATTCTCTCACCGTCTCCAAATTTTTGCTACCCAGAGTTGGCTGTTTGCTACCAAGGAATCCTGAAAACAGCCTGTGATTTTTAAAAACTTTTTATTTATTTAAGTAATCTCTACACCCAACATGGAGCTCAAACTCACAACCCTGAGATCAAGAGTCACATGCTCTTCTGACTGAGCCAGCCAGGTGCCCCCAGCCTGCGATTTTTTTTTTAAAGATTTATTTGAGGGGGCCTGAGTGGCTCAGACGGTTAAGCGTCTGCCTTCGGCTCAGGTTATGATCCCAGGGTCCTGGGAACAAGCCCCGCATCGGGCTCCCTGCTCTGCGGGGAGCCTGCTTCTCCCTCTCCCTCTGCCTGCTGCTTCCCCTGCTTGTACACTCTCTCTCTGTCAAAAATAAATAAAATCTTAAAAAAAAAAAAAAAAAGATTTATTTGAGAGAAGGGCGCCTGGGTGGCTTAGTCGTTAAGCGTCTGCCTTCGGCTCAGGTCATGATCCCAGGATCCTGGGATCGAGCCCCGCATCGGGCTCCCTGCTCGGCGGGAAGCCTGCTTCTCCCTCTCCCACTCCCCCTGTTTGTGTTCCCTCTCTCGCTGTGTCTCTCTCTGTCAAATAAATAAATAAAATCTTAAAAAAATTAAAAAAAAGATTTGAAAGAGATTGAGTGAATGAGAAAGAGCACAAGTGGGTGGGAAGACCAGAGGGAAACACTTACCCAACTGAGCCACCCAGGCACCCAACAGCCT